GCCACGCTCGTGGCGTCGACTGTTCCAATTATCCGATATCGTCGTCGTTACAAAAGCATCCTCCTTGCGTCGCTAGGGGGTTGGAATATTCGAAATAGCCTATTAAATTAATTTGCTTATCCAATGGCATAAATCATTTTTTGTAAATTAAAAATTTCTAAAGGGTGGCTTGAGAAGATTCCCTGTTTATTTTTTCTAGGGTTAAAGAAATCTCACACTGTATATTAACAGGATCGCGCACGATGATATTTAGCGTTTCAAATAATTTCCGCGACGAGACTTAATCCGATCGGCCGACGGCACACAGGAGCAACGTGTGCCATGATAAAACGTCAGGAGAGATATCCTCTCGTCTGACACTGTCCGTTTAGTTAAGTCCTGGTAATCCTGCGCGTCCTTCCGTTCCTTTTCTCCGTCTCGCTTATCTTCCCCTTCTACCCCCTCGCATCCCGGGAGAGCTTCTCGAATAAATCGTCGTGGTCAGAAGCTTGAAGGGGATTAATACGTGGCCCAATTAAGGAAGAAAGAGCCGTGGAATGCCGTTAACTTACAGGTCTGGACCTCTCTTCAGAGAGAGAGAAAAAATGAAAGAAAAAATGACGAGGATGAACCCAACGGGTCTGCGTTTCAGACGAGAAATTGACCACAGGATTTTCGCTTTTCCTGTTAATTCTTTCACTCGAGAAACTGGTATTTATCCCCTGGATATTTGTACAAGAGGGCGAAACATTTCTTTTCTCGATACATGAATCATTCAAATCGGTACACGTTATATTTTATGAATTTTACGAGCATCGATTTCCATTCAAATTCCGAATCGACCTTCTCTTCCAACGAAACGCGAGAATCGTTTCCCGTGAAACGTTTCGATGGAAACCATCAGGGGATTTTCGCGGCTCGAGAAAAGCCAGAAAACTATACGACTGCGGATATATTTCAACGACTTAAAGGCTCTTACGATTTCCGCACACGGTAAAATCGGTCAGATTTCCAAAGTGGAGTGCCGTGTTCCGGTGTCTTTCGATACCTTCAAAAAAGTTTCGAAGCTTATAGACAAACGTATCAGGCTAGTTTTTCCTCGGGGATTGCAAACTTTTCCATCCAAACTATCGGACACTTTCGATCCCAGAATGTTCCATAGACATTAGCAGCAGCGATTAATAATCATTTGTTAATTGTAATCGATGTTTGAAAATCTTTTGAGAGAGCATCAAAGGGAAGAGCTCGAACGCTGCAACAGTGCGTCGATTCCGATATTACAACCATTCTCGCGATTACTCTGCCAGCTATTCTATTGTGTATTTATTTCGAATCGGTAGTCAGAAACGGCTGTCGAACGCGGCGCGGTTTGCGAAAAATCGACGAATAAAATGGAAGGGCGCACGCAATTACGCAAATGCGCCATGGGGTATCGATGCATCGCGGATATTACGCAACCGAATCGCGATATTGAAAGAGCGGGCACAAGAGAGAGAGAGAGAGAGGGAGAGGGGGAGTAAAGATCAGAAAGCACGAGACCAGAATCGGCTCATAAATTCAGGAACAACGTAACAGGGCCGTACACGCGGCCTAGATACCCTTGCAGATTAAGTCACGAACTCTCCACGGCACATGGCTATGGTACACGCGTATATTTATGGTACCTCTGAGTGTTCCATGGTGCCCCGTGGTACGTGTACACGTGATCTATGGGAATTCGCAACAATGACGGTTTCGCGAGCGTTCGACCGTCACGAAACGAATAGCTATTTCCCGATTAAATGCTTCGACATTGAGTTACGAACACTCTGACAGCAATGTAACTTTTGTGATAAAAAAAAGTAGTTGATTAAATATTTTCTTCCATTCGAATCAATATACCTGTAAGGGGATGAAGTCGTTAGGACACACCAGAGGTACTCCGATAAGGTGTCGATAAATGATGGCAATTCGAAGGCGGCAACGATTAAGGAAAACGCGCCGTATGGGAAAATTAGAAGCTTTGCGGCTCGTCTCTGCGGACCAATCGAATAAACGGACGGTATTCAATGCGTACGCTTTCGTTCGAGTCCCTCTATTGCTCCCGCGAGACCTCGCGAGGGACGCTCGTCGGAATTAGTCTATATCTGGTGAACGAGAGACACGAGGGTGGTGAACGCCTTTCCAAACGCGTATAGTTTGTTTTCGAAAAGTGACGTCCCGTCGACGATAGAAGACGTATGCTCTTCGACCGACAATCTTAAAATCAATAATTTAAAAAAAAGATTAGATTTCATACAAATTCTTTGCAGCATTTACGCTACAAGAACAAGTTTCCTTATCGCCTAAAAATGCGACGAGAAATGCGTAACGGTGTTCGAACTCCTCTCTAATTACCGAAAAAGAAGAGTATCTTCTGAACGCGAGAATCGCTTATCGTAAATGTTCTTAGATTGGAAAGGAGCTGATGTTATCAATTATCAGGACTAGTCGCGATCCGATCGACCGGTTACGGTCCTAATCGATTTAATAACGTAATACAGATTAAGGACGATTACGGTGTTCTTTAAACGCGATGTATCGATAAACCATAAGATATAGCGACCACCTCGATATTAGAGGGAGTAGATATATCGAGCGCAAATGGGCACACATACCGCTTCAAACGTGATGAGGGAATCGTATAGAGGCAAGTCAGCCAATCTTCATCCCGCATTATAGGTTCATCGTTAACGACATGTCTCGAACGTATCCTCACGGTCTATGCCCTCTGTATAATCGTTACCGTAGCCGCATCACGAAATGCTGGGCCGCTATCTCTTTGACCGGCCAGATAATCGTCCCAATTAAGCCGCTTTTCCCACGATTCGAACGAAATCAATATCAATAATGGCTCCTCTTCTTCCCTGGACGTTCCGTCATTTTCATTTCTACCACCCCCGATGGCGTATCGATATTAAATAATTTGCTACCTTCTGCCGCTGGTAATCAGTCTGTCAAATTTTAACTTATAATCCCCTTTGGGCGAACCGGCTTATGGCCCGTCGATCGAATGGAAATTGTAACCCGTTATTCGATTACGCCGCGAATAAAGTTCGCGGATGATTTGGAATATTAATTCGCGGACCAGTCCCGTTCACAATGAATTTCATCGAGCACGGATTAGGAGTTTTAAACAGGGCTAGTCGTGATACAGCGATCGGTGCGTTGATGCTTGTTATTTCGTAACGAAAATCCTGGACGCCGAGTAAATGGGATAGAAAAGAGAAACGAATAAGTAGCAGAGGCTCGAGAGTCATAGTCACGGTCTAAATATACGCGACTGACGAACGATCTCGCTGAATTCGACGCGTTTTCCTTCCATTTATTTTCACGCGTGTCCGACGCCTACCAGTTGTATCGCTAAGCGTCGTTTGACCTGTCCCGTGCACCGTTTCCCCGCGACGCCTTCTTTTTTCCGGGACGCCGGGATTAACGCGACCGGCACTCGCCTGTTTGTCCAACTCTTTCGTCGACCTGACGACGCTTTTAGATTCACGCCTCTGGAATTGCGTCTAATCGCCATTTCTACTGGTTACTTTAAATACCTCTTGGCGAGACTGCTTTTCACCCTTGATCCGTGAGTTCAAAGTTGGAAAGAGAAAAAATGGAAAGATGTAATACGTAACGAACGCGAAATTGCGCGAGGAAATTAACGCTGTTCAATTAGTTAACAAGGCAAGAACGCGTCGCGGATATCCGCTCGAGGCGGAAGATCGCGGCCGCGTACCAGACTCGTCTGTTTGCTAAGCTAATGACCAGTTTCCAGGGTGGTTTAGTAATCAAACGGACAAAGGACCTCCGGTCCCGTCGAGTGTCCATCGTAGGACCTTTAGTTTCCAGTCGTCCGCAACTTCGACGTCTCCTTTCGCGGCTATGCAAACGCGCTCGTCTTCCTCTCGCTCTGCTTCTCCTCGAATCCGACCTACGTTCCTCGTTCGTGACCATCTCGAAATGGACCGTCGAGTTTCCAATAACGAAACTATTACCCGGGAGTACCGTCGACGTTGGTGGGCGGGCTCGTCGTATACCGTCGACGAACGACCACCGACGACGAATAATACATCCAGGGTATGCATAATTAATTTCACGCCACAGAGACATCAGGCTGTAAAGAGCGACGTAAAAACGAGTACTCCCGTGACGGGACTGGGGAGAGGAATTTTTATGCCCTTACGAAAAGTCGCTGGCTGATATGAAAATGGCCGGACGAAATGGAGCGTTTCGAGGGAACCGAATGTGCTCGCGAGACGGTAAAAAAAGGTAAAGGTGAACGCACGTCTGTCTGGCAATTTTCTAATGTATCCAGCTTTTTATGCGAACTGAAGAGGATTGATGGTTTCCTATACTTCTTCCGTACGTCTTTTTCCATTTGTTTTTGAAAATTCTTCCCTTTTGATACAGGACTAGCATGATCGAATTAAATTTCTGACATGAAATTTAATTTACACCCTACTACGAATATTCTTCTATACTTGATGCCTGTTTCAGACTCCATTCAGTCGTACGGAATACAATAAAACGTGCGAATTACAACGATATCGCGAATGATGACACGCAATGGACGCATATGATCTCTGTTTTTACGAGCCTGACAACTCGTAAACGGTGGAAAGCAATAACCTGGCCGCTACAATTCCCAGCTTTTATCGACCGTTCTATTTTTCTTTTTTTTTTTTTCAATTTAGATTAAGATCGCTCGCGAAAATGATCGAGACCAGTTTTGCTAGCAAGGTTTACGACGCTGCCCGTCGTTTCTCTTCCGTGAATTAGCTCCAACTAATTCCACTGGAAGTATCGTTAAACCAGCGCTACTTACGCAAATTGTTTCGAGTTTAACAGTCACGGTTAACAGCCATAAAGTTACAACTAATTCGTTTAACCAATTTGTGTCAGCGACGATAACGCATACAGGTTTACGATAAAGATAAACTCGATGTTGCAACTTTTTCATCGTATATAAAGAGAATTTTCCGAGAGGATCATTGTCAGTGTGTCTCTGAATATCAACGAAAATTCACGATGAAACTGTTACTAGTTCTACTTTTCGTGTACGTCGTTTCCGCCACACGATGCATCATCAGAGACGACAAGGTACGAAGATACGAGCTTGTTCTACCGAACAAACGCGTAGTTCAATCGTTTTTGATAAATCGTGATCATGTTCTAATCGTCCTTCGTCCTTCGTCCGCAGGACGAGCCAGAGGTTCACGTGATCCGCTTAGGGGATCGCAGCAGTGGAGAGTCAGTGAGTAAAAGCGGCTTTCCTTTCGAACCTTTTGTAGTAAATCATTCTGTCTCGCGGTATCAAAGAGCTTCGCTATATACTTTAGATGAAATGTAACGAAAGTAGAGAAAATTTCAGGATTATCCGGAATCTCAGACTATTTACTTTCAAATTATTATCGTATATTTGTCTTAGGAAATTGTGAACCAGAGAGCTTAAAAACTGTTTAAGGACATATTTGAAATTCCATTTGATTTATCGCAGGACGAGTCGGAGGTCGTAACCTTGCACATCCCGGACAGCCGTCGCAAGCGGGCAGCTAATGACTCCTGTAAAAAAGACAGCGACTGTTCCGCGGGAAAGCTTTGCGTCCCTTATCTAGGATGCAGTGAGTATTCGTAAAATCTTGTAGATACTTTGACCGCGGGAAACTGTATCGTGTTTCCTCTACAGTTAGGGGACACCGGAAGAACCCCACCTTGCAAAAACATTCCAGCATGAATCACTTGGCTAGCAAAGTTCAGTAATGCAACAACCGAGAATATAACTCTATAGTAAAACAACCTGTACTTGATGCACTTTCGATAATAAAATAATTACCAGCATTACACATTTTTGTAATATAATTTAACATCCTGCTCCCTATAGAAAAAGGTATCGATGCGGATAAGTGGGAAAGATTTTCACAGAGAGAAAATGGACGTACGGTGAGACGGATGGCGCGATACGATCGGGTCTCGTTAACGCGAAAAACGGAAGAAAGCGAACGTGGAGCGTAAGAAACGAGAGGGCAGTCATCGTAAATTTATCGGGAACAACTGGCTGCTTGGCAGAGATCCTCGGCTCCGTCTTAACCGCAATCCCGTGGAGTCGGTCGAGGAAAAGGTAGCGTGATTCCATAGATTTACAGTTAAAATCAATTAGGCTCTAATTGGCTTCGAAAGCTTTATCGCTGGTATCGTTTTATTGGAAGACGGCTCGATGGAAAGCAGGGGTCGAGTTCAGAAGTAAGATTGATCGTACCACGATGCCACGGATTAGTTAAATTTTAAATATGAGACCGACGAGGGTGTAATTCCTTTGAAACATTGATTCTATCGAAATACTGTTTCCTATTTTTACGTTCGAACTTTGAATAAAACGTGTTAACATATTTCTCCCTGAAGAGTAGAAGAACGAACAATGCAACAGAAAAATGGCAGCGAGAGGATCGCGATCGTCTCTATCGAAGAAAAAAGCTGAACGACGAAAAAATTTTCGCGGTACCAGGCTCGGTGAGAAGCATAACGATCGTTAAAAGCCTTCGTCATCCTCGTCTCGAAGAAGTTCGAGTGGATGTGGTCGAAGGGTGAGAAAGAAGGAGAGCGAAAGCGCAGAGGGCAAAAGGGAATGAAAAACTGGCAGGCGGGGCAAGAAACGCGATATATCAGCGGCGGGGGCCCGGCGATTAATTGCCAAAATAACTGCAGACACGAGGAATCGTTTAGGCACGACTCTCGGAACATTGTTTACCGTGGATACAGCCGGCTGGAATGTATGTCCCCGTGGACACGCGGGACATAATATACGGGGACAGTTACCGCCCTCGGCGACGTATATTACCCCCCACCTAAGTGCAGCTCTTTCGTTCGTCCTGGCGGACCGGGCACGCTGAAATATTCCGCGTGGTTCGCACCAGACACCCGCATGATTCAAGAGAAATCGATCGATCCTTTCGAGACCCCATCGACATCGTTCGGAGAGGACCGTTGTAACCCCGGTGTGCAGGTGACGCCGCCAATTGCTTCGACGTTTCATTCTCACCTTCGAACCGTATGATATTACGGAAGACGAATATCCTCGGCTGTTAAAGGATACTCTGTCCATGGGTACGATTAAATCTTCGCTTTGTCAAATTACTCGTGTCGTATATCTTGCATTCGCTCGTGCATTACACGGGACGACAAGTCTGGTTATGCTAACGGGTGTTGGAGAAGTGCCAATGGTTTCGGAACAGGTCCTTGCGGTATTGTGCGTGGTTAACGAAGCTTCGTTTAACAAGAAGATGGCAGAAAATAAGAGTAAAGAGAAACTTGAAAATTTTTCTCTTCCTTGGCCGTCTTAGTCTTAGACTGGAAATTGATTAAAGCGCGACAAACAGCGATGTCAGAGCAAGAAGGAATCGAGTCGTTCAACCGTGTCCGGACCTTTAACCCTGTGCAAGCTGAACGAGGCCTCCGGAGAATCCGCCTCGCGAGGGATCGGTGCAAGAATAAAACGTAGGTGTCACTCGGCTTTATTTTCGACCGCGCACCGATTCGCTTCGAAGGCACGGCGAATTTATTCACGCTCCAGTGGCTGAGGTATCCCGCGATAAATAAAATTCACCAAGGGGAGAAAGAGGAGAGAAAACGAAACGAGCGGAAGAAACGACGTGTCGACGCGCCTCGTCGCGAGGATTCGTAGACAGCGTTTAAATTGACCGGAGAAAAATGTCCCCAGCACGGGATGCTTTTCAGCCGGCAACCGACACCGATATTAGCCGGGGAGAACGAGCTTTTAACGCTGGAATTTTCGCGCCCCAACGGTGAACCATCGTCCAAAGCTCATTCTTGCCTCTTTTGCAACGAATTTATTTTTTTGTTGTAAGGAAATTATTAGACAATGTATTCTCTTTTGCTCAATAAAGTGTAAGCTGTTGTTCCATAAATCAAACTCTGAATAATTGTCCCATCGGTTGAAATGCAGTGTAAAGAGAGGGTTGACGAGTCTATCTCCCCACACCCCTTGTTCTTTGTTTATTCGAGTTACTTGGAAACGCATCGTGGCTTCGAACGGCGATACTCGGTTCGCGGGGAATTCGCGCGGCGCAAGAGTGCTAAACGATGTTTGCGGACCACGTTGGCAAGGGGAGGAAGCTTTTTCCTCTGATAAATTCGCGACGTCTACTCTTTCGAAACGGCAAGTCGTACACACCTGCCACGCCGAATATTCCAACTCGTAAGCGGAACGATCAGCTCGATGAGAATATTATTAACGTTCGCCGTCTTTGAAGGCAATCGCGGAGCGAAACTCGCGCGGATCGTTCGCGGTTCCTCGATTAAACCGCGTAGAAGCTGTCTGTGTGTCGAGGCACGTCTGACAGGAATTCTCAGCCTCTGGTTCCTCTTTGAAGTTGCTCGAAGAAGGGCATCCGAACGTGCCCCGACAGACGCAACATTTGCGAGAGGCGCGTATTAAAAAATTCCAGCCTCGAAATTTTAGGAATCCAATTTTTCCTCGATCCGAGGCCTCGTTACCGAGAGTAAAAGCTAGCGTGGAAATAGAGTGGAAGCTCGACGGGGGAGAACTACCTTCGCGGATGTGTGTATACCAGCCGGAAGGGGAGACAGTCGTGCTTTAAGTATGATTTAGCGTGAGCGGGGAAATAATGGCGGGCGAGAGTGCACCCTGTTTTCCCAGCATCGTTCATCCGCTAACCGCTGGCTGATACGCGGCACGCTTACTCCGCACGATTCCCAAAACGTCTACTTCAAGAGCCGCGGAAGCTCGCCGCGAGATTTGTCGCGCCGGATTTGTCGTGCATCCCTGAGAAATTACGCGCGACCCGTTCCACCTGTGCGGCCACTGCAAACAACCCTGCATTTTCACCATTTTACGACTTCATTCGGACACGTTACGCGTTGTTTGGACGGTATTGTAGGATCAGAATCGCGCAAAAATATTCATTCGATAAAAACGACAAACGTACGCTAACGACGAGATATAGTTTGTTTGGCATTTTGTAAAGAAAAGGTGATCAACTTTGAAATACACTGAGAGAGCGCAGAGTAATATCAATTTCTTTAGATAAGAAAAATTTCGCCTCTGGTAGAGCGCGAGCGTAGGAACAGACGCGGTTAATTACGTCGAATGAGAGGGGCTAATGAAAAATTAATAGGAAGCCCGGAAGTCTTGTAAGTGCAACGAGAACGATAGCTGGATGCGTTAATGTACGAGAGAAAAGCCGGTGAAATTTAGAAGCGAGGAAGAAACTGGAGTAAGGAGAAAGCGGGAATGAGAGAGGCCCGTTAGCGGCCACGGAAGTCATAAAGAGCCAGCAAATCTTTTCATTATCGCCCCGCGTAAGTGATACGTATATCATACTAAAGCGACCATTTCGCGAGCATTATATCCAGACGGAGGAGCTTGATCCAGCCTCTGACCAGCCTCCATCGTTGGATGCTTTTCACGCCACGTTCCACTGTAAGTGCGTACGAGGATTAAGCCGGATCGTTTCTTTCCTTCGCCTACGCCTCGTGGGCGCTTTCCTGGCTTCGATAAAACTACCCTTTCCTTCGCTGATACATCCACACGTTTCGATCACCAACGACATTTTATTTACGACCCATCCAGCGAATCTGTCGTTCCTGTATTCAAGGAAAAATACGCATTCTTTTCTTGAGCACGTACATACTTTATCCTTTAACGAGACTGTTAACGTAATGAAAAATTCTCCTGTAGATTACATGTTCAATGTTCATCCTCGTTTCTTCAAAGTTAGACGAGCTCCCACTGGCCGATTCTCGTATCTCTGTCACGTATTCGATGCTAGCCGTTTAGAGCCACTAAAATAATAACGACTAGGCTACCACACCGTCAGCCTAAGTCACCCCTCGGCCTATAGCTCTCTTTTACGGCTGAAAATTACAGCCGCGCGACCCTCCACGCGTTTATGGCCTTCAACGTCGCGCCACCTTCTGGTCAACCAGAAATTCATATCCTAGGACGTTTCCGTCTACTGACAATGTTTCTGCTAAACGAAATTACAATATCTCGTTTTTAATTCTCGTATCTAGAATCATCTTATCCATATAAATAATAGAGGATAATTAAATTTAGAGGGATGCTCGATAGTAAACGTCATAGATGAATCATGATCGTAAAAACACCGGAATTCCCTTGGTGTAATTAAAAACGTCTTCTGCTGAGTTGTCTTCGCAAAATTAAATATGCTCCCAGATAATTTCAAATTCCAAGAATCTCCCTTTCATAGAAAACCTGGTGAGAAGTGGCACTTTTCGACTCACAGATTGTCAATAGCAAAAAAATGTACGTCGACGAGAAGTTCGATCTCGATCGCGTCACCTTTTAATACAAGATAATTGGAAAAGTTTCGGTCGGACCCTCTCTGTTCTGAAGCGCGTTGATCCCGAAAAAAAAGTGCTGGCTTACGAAACTAAGTCCCTTCGTAACGCGTGTCCGACCCTAGCCGTGTCTCTGCTTGATTTTTCTTCGCCCTTATATCTTTCCGCGTCGCTGTTACCGCGCGTGTACGTACGTTTCTTGTCTCCGCTTCCGTGAACCCGCTAGATTTCCCGTGTGTTTTCGCCATGGCTTTCCGCACGCAGAGTGGCACGCACACAACTGCCACGCCGGGCCGGGCTTTAATCTACGCGATGCTACGTGAGGTGTTTGCGGTCGAGCCAGAAGGCATCCCCTTCCGTTTCTTTCGTCTGCGACCAGCTTTTCCTTCGATGCAAACGAGACTTCCACCCCCGCCGCCTTCCTTCCTCTCACACTCTCTGAAATATCTGCCACTACTCGATGCCGTTCCTTTTTCTTTGCACACCCAACTCGTTTCCCTCTTATCGTCGTCTCCGAGTACTTCTCTCGGATTCGCATCTGGCTGACAAAGTTAGAACTCGCGTCTATGGAAGGCAAATCGAATCACCGGAAAGCAGCCTCCTGTTGCCACTTTCTTCGACAATGACGATCCGTTGCAAAGGATTTCAACTCCTTATAAACACTTTTGGAGGATGCAACCGTTTCGAAATTAAACGGGGAAGATGACTTGTTGGAGTCCACGGATCGTGTAACGTCGAGAGGGCAACAGTGAGACACAGCGCGTTCGGGGGAGCGGTGTATACCCAAAAGGATCAAACGTGATCCTGTCTGGGCAGGAGTTGGCAACACGAAGCGAGCACTGGC